ATAATAACAGTAATAAAGTTATCGATAACCGCTCAAATTCTCAATAAAACTCGCCATTTAGCTTTAAATTATTTTCTTAATATAAAGCCAACATGAAGAAGGTTCAGTAGGCATCAGTATAATTAAGTAATCGAAGACCCAATAGAATAATTTTAGTTGGAATCATCTATTATTTCCGTTCTTAAGGCCTGAAGACAGCTTTCAAATGAATCTCATAATAAATAAATTCCCTCTCCCGCAGTATGTCAGATCTTTCAATTCAAAATTAATTATATTTTTATTATTTCTATATGAAAACAAGCTGCATCAGATCGGGTTTCCACTTAGTCTGCGCCAGCTTCGGTTGCAAACATTTTAGAAGAGTGTCAATTAATTTGCCACACGGCAGCCACTCAACAACTAAACTAGCAAAATTAAGTTGACATCGTTGTTGTTGCTGTTGTTGTTGTTGCTGTTGTGCTGGCATTAACAGTCACAGGTGTCGCAGGTGTCGATGTGGGCAGGCAGCATTTGGAAGGGGTATTGAAGGCGGTGGCAGCAGCTTTCCGCGGCTTCCTCAAACAGCGGCCGTGGCGCCAGGCAGCGATTGCTATTTAGCTGATTGTGTGGTTTTTGGCTTTAAGCGTTTGTGTGCACCAACCTAGCCCCAATCACCCCACCGACCACCTCAGCGCATCGCCCACTTCAGCAACGACCCTTGGAGCTGTCCTGGCTTTGGGTACCCCCAGCTTTTCGGCCATAAAGCGCATGCATTTAATTAATTGCGCCATTTTGTCTTACCCTTAGAGGAGGTCGTGCTCGAGCTTACACTGAGAGTGAGAAAGGGAGAGAGAGAGAGAGAGCGGGGAGAGAGGGATAGAGTAAGAGAGGTGTTTGGGAAATGCGAAACGTTTGAGTTTAAATGCAAATTTCTTTAAGTAAATTGTAAGCGAAAATAATTTAAATATTTCAATTATTTGCCTAGGTACATATACTAAATTGTTTTAATTACAAAGGACTGGCAAGAGCTTGGGAGAATGAATATATGGGAAATGAGCTTGGTGGCCTTTATTGCCTCTATTCTCTATTCTATTAAAAGCCATACATATATGTATACTGGGGTAATTTTGTAATACATTGAAATATTTATATTATAATGTACATATTCTACTTTATTTCATAACTAAATATAGATTTACTTGTAACTCTGGATACAACTGCTCGATTGTGAAACATTGAATAAAATTATATTTTATATGTTCCTTTAATATAAGTTTTATTTATTTATTTTAAAATTCTTTCTGTGTTTAAATTTTATTATCTTAGCTATTTATAGTAATCTTTTAAATTATAATAATCTTTTCAATATTATTTACAATTTTTTTTTATCATATTTTATTATTTTTTTAATGTTATTTATTTATTATTATTAATTAACATACAAAATAATTATATATTTTTTATCCTTTTAATTGCATTTAAAGGTTGCGAATATAATCAATTTTTTTTATATAAATAATAATAATAATAAAAATTAGAATAAATAGTAAATACATGTTAAATATGTAATATCTTATCTTAAATTTCTTAAAACTAATATATGTACATACATTCCACATTAAAATTAAAAAGCAGTCAATAAATCTATTTATATAGGTTTATTCTATTTTTGGCAAGTGTAATTCTTCTTGCATTTCAATTATCAAATTTCTTATATTGTTTTGTTTTTTAAATTCATTGATAAATATTTATAATAATCAATAGAAATAATTTTAACGTATTCAAATTCATTAGTCCGATTTATTTATTTTTTTTTTTTTAATGGGAGAAGTGCTATTAATTATTTCTTTCATCAACTTTTGTGATCAACAAAGAGCAGTTAGCCGGATCAACAACAATTGCTTAAAGACAAAATGTTTGAATTGAAATATGGCGGGCCATATACTGTGTGCGTTGCAGTTAGTCAGCTTTGGGTTTTTATCGATGGCCGTTGCCGGACAACGGCCATTACCAGGTTGTCCACATGTTTGGCCGCCAGACAGAGAGAGAGAGAGAGAGAGAGAGAGAGCGCGGTGCAGCATGGGCCTGGGCAGACGTGGTCAGCCTTTAATCCAATGGCCAATAGACGCCAACACGATGCAGCTCCAGCTGCACATCCTGTGTGTCCTCTGCCAACGTTTGATATTAACATGCGGCGGCGTCGGCGGTGGCAGCGGCTGCTGTTGCTGTTGTTGTTGCTGTTGCTGCAACAGTTCAGTGCAGCCGTTGAGTTTCACTAAAACCCTTTAGCTTCCTTTAGTCGCCCACCGCCCGCTGCTGGCAGCCTGTAAGTGATCAATGTTTGTCTATGCTCTGTGTTAGCCACCTCGAAAGCACCAGCCGTCCAAAAGTATGCAACGCGCCCGGCCAATGGTCATTTGTACAGCGGACCTCAGCACTGTCCCACACAGCACATAGTGTCGCACATTTGGCTATTTTCCGCCAAGAAACAGTTTTGAAATGCTGATACTATGAATTATAGCTATATTGAATCATTGAGTTTCATTTTTCTAGCAATTTTAGTGTAAAAATCTCAAAATAAGTTGAAAGCAGAAATCAGAGATGTCTAGAAACGAAATTCTGTATTTTTAAAGGAAGCCTTCATTCTCACATTGCTTATAATATATTTCTAAATACTAAATTTACTCTCATAGTTTTTGTTTGAATAAAAACTATTAAATTTTGCTTTGCAAGCTTTCAGCTAGTACCTTTAGTGATTAGCTTAATGTAGATTTTCATATCATTAAATTAATGAAGCATATATTCAAAAGATAGTAGCTAAAATTGAAGTTTGCTCAAGATCAGCCTGCATAAGCTGCTCAATAAAAAGTAGCATAATGCTCGTAACATCTATAAGTCCTATTGAAAGCTGACAGATCCTTAGTAAAAACCATTATTGATACACAAATTATAATTATTATTATTTAAAATTAAAACAAAAATTTTCTTTTCTTGATATTTCAATTTGTTGTTTAGCTTTTTCTCGCTAATCTGGCTGCGCGAAGCTCTAAAAAGCTGGCAGCACTGCTAACCACACACCCCCACAGCCCACAGCGCCCCTCCACGCCATCCGTTTCCATTGTAAACATGCATAAATTGTTGCATACTTTTGGCCTGACTGGAGCTGTAGTTGGACCCATTTTGCTTAGCTCCTGATTATGTTTGTTGAGCCCAGTTGGCTTCGCACCGATGCGACTACTCACTGTCCCAGCAGCAGTTGCAGCAGCAGCTCGTTAAATGCCAGTTGACTTATTTGTGCCAGTGTTTCCCGTTTGCTTGGCTAACACGAAAATTTCACTTTAAGCGCTTTGTCACAATGCACACACACACACACACACACATTAATTCGGTGTAAACTAATCGGACAGGTGTCCGAGTCCATCAAATGTGATTAGAAGTGGTTGAGGTGTGCTTGATCTACTTGACTAGAGCTAGGCTAGCTGGGACAGCTACTCATTAAACCGAATTAGAATTAGTTCAATACATACGAGAATTGCTTAGAATATTGCCGGAGTCTATTGGCTTGCGGTATATTTCGGGGAAATTTTGCATACAAAGTAAGTAATTGTAAGTCATACGAGACGTTCGTTAGCCGAGGCTCCACTGTATGAGAATGATGCTTAGCTATTTGATAAAATGCCTTCTTAGTTCATCTATTGCTCCATTGTCCACTGTTTCTCCGACTGCTGTTCCTCAGCATGATTATACTTCTGTGGGTTTCTTTATATAGTATTCATTCTTATCTGCTCCTGCTCCTGCTCCTGCTGCTGCACTGCTTCCCACCAACTCTACTCTTCTGGCAGCTTCACCTGCTAACTTTTCTCCACAAATCGCTCTTATAACTCTCATTCAACTCTTTCAACTTCAGCTCTTTTACAATTTTTGTTTATTATTCTTCTCTTCAGTAATCTCCTTCACTTGGTGCTTTTACTCATTTTCTTTGTACTGTTTGTCCTTCTCGTTTTTTTTCCTGTTCTACTACTGGCCCTCCTTCCCTTACCGAACTACCTGCTGCCTGCTCGCCTGCTCCTCCTGCGCAGTCTAACTAATTCCCATCTATGAATTGTAATTCACCATTCACACTCGTAGCACTTCAAAATATCGAATTCTCTGTTGCTTCACTCATTATCCCCGGCAGGTATGTCAAAAGAATTAGAATTGACTTTCGGACTACATACATTCCAAGTGTTAAACTTTACTCAACCGAAATTTATGTAAGACTGAATTAGCTTGGGGCATGTTGAGCCCTCAAAATCTCAAATTCGGCAATGCCTTATCAAGCGGAGGCCAGAGCTGAGCTTTAGCCGGAAATAGCATTTTGCAGCTATCAGTTTCATATATATATTACATGTATATATATGTACTTGATTTTGTTGTTATCGACAGCAATTATTATCAAACACACTTAGTTAAGGTCAACCTCAAATATTAAAGCTTAGATATGAATTCGTATATTGGTTTAGTACAATATATATCTTGCAGAAGGGATAGAAGTCCTAGTTTACTATCGCTTCCGCGATTGATGGAACCAAAATGTATTTACCTATATAGCCGTCGCATAATGTTTATATGTATATAGAGCTCACTTCAGAGTGCTACTTACTTGGTGCTTTTACTGTATTTCCATCTATTCAATATCATTTCACATTTATATATGATGGTCTTTGCTATTCGTATTTCACCTGCTTCTTCTTCTTACTAATCATGCTGATCTCGGCTTCTTTTCGTAATTCCTGCGATTAATTTTACATTAGCTCTTCCCCTACCTTAGTCCTCGTTGTTCTCCTTAAGTTTCGTCTTTTGATTTTCCATCTCCTGCATCATCAGCTCCTAACTTAAGCTTTTTGATGTCAATTAGATAAATAATATATTAAAATCAAATACATGTTTTTTATAGATATTTGGCTTCGAGCGATGACCATATGTAGTATAAAAATTATTTGGAATAACAAGTTTTACGAAAATTCCATTCGGTCTTTTCTTTACTCGACTGGCCTGATCATCATTTGCACAAACTTCAGGGAGTCCAGTGTCCATGTTCTCCAATTAATACCTCTAACCTTTGCAGCAAGATCCGCTGTTTGGTATTTTCCATTTAGACGGCTGTTTATTAAAAAATGAATAATATGATTGCAGCCAATTATAGAAAATGTAATCTACTCACCTGTCACCGCAGTTGTGAAACCACCAACCAGCTGCATAGAAATCTGCGCAATTGCCAGTGAACCAATTATCGTGATCTTCATCAATGGTCGTAAATTTCTTATACAGATTGTCCGCCATTGCATTGCCTGCGTCTCCAGTATAGTTTCCCAATGATTTTATTTTAAAACTATCCTCCTCTCCCTTAATGAAGAAGTGACTATATCTCGCATATCGAACGTCATCGTTAAACTTCTTCATGTAAATGTACAATTCGTGTTTTCGTGATATCGTCAATAAATGCAGCTTCTCAAGACCTATAAAGAACTCTCCGTCCAATGAGCCGAAGCCCTTGCGATAATCTCGCATTGTGCGATTGAAGTCCACAGAGCCGTCTTGACGACGCTGAATTACTGTCCAGCCCGAACCAGCCAGACACGTGTCACAGGACACGTTAAAGGCACTCGATCCAGGAAGTTTTATTTCGTGTATGCCTGTCTCCTTACCTATGCAGCTAGACAGATTATTGATATAATTTTCCTTATCAGTCAAATTTTTTCGGAGTTTCCTAATAATTGCTGAGTTTTCCTTTTCTTGCGATTTCAAATTCGATATTTCCGAATCTTTGTTCTTCAAATCAGCGATCAACTTGTTTTCGATTGCCTTAATTTCATTTTCCTTTTCAGTTAACCTGTTCTCAAGTGAACTAATTTCGGCTGTCTGATTTAATATTTGGAAGTCTTTATTCTTTAGCTCAGCCATCCACTTATTTTCAATATTATTACTGAAAGCTACTAAGTGTATAATCTGATTAATAAACTCCTCTTGGATCAAGCAATAATTATGATGTGATTCACTTTCTCGAAACTTTTTCGCTTTTTCTTTTCTAGGTCGCATCGATGAAGCATTTTCTATCAGGGGCCTTAAAATTCCAAAGCAATAACTGCCGCATTGCTCGTCCTGGCTCTTGAAGGCTGCTGAAGTGAGCTGCTGAATTATATGGATTGAGTTCACCATTCACACTCGCAGCACTGCAAAAACATACCGAGCTCTCTGTTGTCTCACCCATTATCCCCGGCAGGGATATCAAAAGAAATAGAATTAATATTTGGATTATATACATTCTAAGTGTCGAACTTTACTCAACCAAAATTTATGTAAGACTGAATTTGCTTGAAGCGTTTGCTGCAAAACGAACTCTAAAAATCTCAAATTCGCCAATGCCTTATCAAACAGAGGCCAGAACTGCGCTTTGGCCGGATATAGCATTGTGCTTTTACCAGTCTCACATTATAATATGCATATATTATAATAAAGAAAGTGCATACTTGACTTTATTGTTGTCGATTAAAGTTATTATCAGCAGTTTGTTCGCTTTGCTAAGTTTCTAAAACCTTAGCCTTGAATTCTTCTGATAAAATAAAGAGTATATTGGTTTACTGTAGAGAGGGGAGAAGCCCTTCTCTTCGTCAAGTATGTATATTTCCCTCTTTCTATTCCACTCTCTCTCTTCTCCGCATTCATACTTTAATTTTCTTTCTTTACATCTGTGTTGTCTCTCTCTCTCCCTCTCCCTGTCTCTCTCTCTCTCTCTCTCTTTCTCTCTCTCTCTCTCTTTCTCTCTCTTTCTCTCTCTGTCTTCATTATCTGTTTGCCCCTATTTCTGTAGCGCTCTTTTCTTTTTCCTCTCTCTCACACACTTTTTCTCTCCGAATACGTATCACATTTTGTTTCTTTTTCTTTTAATCTAACTCTCTCTCTCTGTCTCTCTCTCTCTGTCTCTCTCTTTATCACTTTTTTATACATTCTTTTCACTTCCGACCGTAACCACCTTATAGTTAATTCAATCATATTCTATAAATGCGAAATTTATACCCCATCCTTATTGATATCTTCACACTTGTCGCTTTCAAAAACTTATGTTGAGCTTTTGCTTAGTTTTTCGTCACGTTCCCATGCATCCCGACGATGTTTTCCCTTTGCTTCTGCTTTTCTTCAACTTTCCTGCATTTCCTTTACAAATAAAACTGGCTCTGGCTGTATCTAAAATCGCATTGCTTTCAATAGCTCATATTATGTTAGGTTTGTTTTCTCTTTTCTTCTCTTTTTATTTAGTTTATTTTTTCCATTTCCAATTTCTTTTGCTATTTGGGAATCGCCATGGCCAATGTTGGGCGACTGCCCGTGGCTCTGCCGCAGCAGGTTGTCGTTATAATTTTCTTACACCTGCTCATTTCTATAGCCTGCCATCCCGTTTACCTTTTGCCATCATATTTCCTTTACTCACTTCCGCCAGCTACTTTGATCATTAAAGTTTTCCCCTTTGGCCGCGCGATGCTGCGGATTCACCGCTGCCTCATCGTCGGCGTCGTCTTCTGCTTCCTCCTCTCCTTTCATGGGCGTGGCATGCAAGCAAATGTGCACACCTTTATGCTTACTCACCCCCACCGCAACGACTGTGCAGGAGGCCAACGAAAGGGTTCTCCCAAGGGTTGGCCGAGTCGGCCAACTTAGACATTTTATTTGAATTGGCAAATAATACGCTTTCGCCTGCTGCTCTGACTTTCTGTATTTAAAGCAATTAAAGAAACCTCAAAACCAAAACTCAACCTAAAATTCCAAAAATAAAAATTTGCTCAACTGCATTTTAAAGTCGATCGAAATGGAATTTTCGTACGGAAAGTTGGCCGCTTTGAGTCCACATAATAATTGCATACTTTGCCAAGTGCAAGAAATTGCGAAAATAAGATTCAATAGTTTCTTGAGAATGTCGAGACGGGTCGGAGCGGAGCGACTGTGGGCCAGACGGCGGCTTGGCCAATATTTACACTTAAAGTTTGCGTGTTAAGTGGATAAATTAATTGCGTGGAATTGTTTCACAAGGACTTCAGATTTTGCGCCAGAGCTGCAGCGAATCGAACGTAAATCGAACGAAGATGGCTCAAAGGCACTCGGACAAAGTGTAGAGAGAACATAAGTTTTTATTTAATCTTTCACTTGTTTGTGTTTGGCCAAAAATGAAATTTATTATTATATTTGGCATTTATTCAACTGCAATTTGCTTATATCGTGTAGCAACAGTTTAAGATTTTAATATTTACATATATTTGGAAAATGTTGTTTAATTCCCACAGCTTCTCAATAAATCAGTCCATATTTATTTTACCTTAGCTTGAGCTTTTAAAGTTAGTTACATTAATTCTGAAATACATTAATTTATTTTGATAAGAAAATGCTTATCAATTTGCTTGTAACTGTTTCTATTTACATATTAATCTTTCTACATAACATAAAAGTTAAAATATGTAAACAAGAATTTGTTTATGAAAGCACATAAAGCTATGTCTAATCGATCCATATTTAATTCCTTTATTTATAGCAATGCATATAATACATATTTACGTAATGCATATAAGTACATATTTAAAATAATACCTAAAACTCTTCTTGAATTCATTTACTGATAACCTAAACTCCATTTCTCTACTTCGTTTAGATTTTAAATCGAATTGTTGAACAACATTTTAGTTGATTTTTGTTGTTGTTTATATCAAAACACAAATAAGCCGTAAATGCATTTGTTTAAACAAATTGGGCGACGCATTAAATCGAATTGAGGTTGCTGAACAAAGTATCGAATTGCACATACGCCACGTATGTCCAGCGAAATAATTAAACTTTTCGGTAAAATATGCATTGCACAAAGTAGACAAACATTTTGCCATAATTAGATTTTGGATACGGTTTTTCCGTTTTTGTTTCATTTGAAATGTAGGCGATATCGGTAATGGAAAATTTTAACTACATTGCTGATAATATATACATTTTTTGTTTGTATTGTTTTTAGTTTGGGCCTCGACTAGAGTCAAATGTATGTATATATAAAGCTGCATAGCCCTTGGCATTGAATGCGACAAGCGATAGACAACATGGATGAAAAGGGATTAAGTGGGGTGTAGCGAGTGGGGCTGGACCAGCACTGCGGGCAGGGGATGGTGGAAGGGTTGCTGCTACCTCCCGGTAAATATCATGTGAGATACACAACACACAGCCCTAACAGCTGTTGACAGTTGCATTAACCTTAGCTGTCAGCCCGCTGACCGGCTGAGCGGCTGAGCGGCTGAACGGCGTCTGGTTAGTTAGGCTGCGGTTTTTCCTGATTTTCCCTTTGCAAAGGGATTTTTGCCATTTCGACGTTACGGTCAAGTTGAGTCGCGTTGAGTTGTCTGTCTGCCAGAGTTTAATTCCATGCAGCAGATGACTGAAATACATACGATTTCTGTTATACTAATTGTTATGCTCAATAATAATCAATCGATATTCTCACAGTTTAATTTATATTCATTTTAACTTTAAGAAATCCTTTAAACGGTCTTAATAATAACCACTCTGCTGAGCTGCTTAGTCTACACTGATTTGCATACACACTGCATTAGCTTATAAAAGACTCAACTCTGATAATTCTCACCAGCATATTATCTGCCAATAGGATCAAATGTGTTGTTTTGTCTCCCTCGCACTCGTAGTAAATAGAGGCCTTCCAGCACTGATCCGTTGTTGCATGTGAATTTGTGTATGTGTGTAGCCTATCAATCTATTATTAGAACAGCGCTCTGTTTGCGCTGCCGTAAAGTGTCATGAGCAAAGAGATAAAATATGTTCTCGGCTCTCACTCTCGCTTTCACAATGTGCTTAGCGTCTCACTGCTATTTTTAAAACCGCGCTCAGTTCAAATATTACATATGTATGTGAGCACAGCTTTGTGCACAAAGAGATCAACACTATTCTTGCCTCTCACTCACACGCTCTATACAAAGACATATTGGCGACCGCCATTGATCTGCTGTTCTGTGTATGTCTGTTGCTTCTCATTTCAATTATTAGAACAGCTCTCAACTCTTCTTCCGCTCACATTGAAATGTATACTGCTCTCACTTGCACACACGTCCGCACACATGCACTGTTGATTGTGTTGCCTCTCCTGAGCAGTGCTGCCAACTTTTTACCAGAATAAAAAGCTGTTTTTAGATGGAAGAAACGGAAAAAAAAGCTGAAAATTTTTACAAAAAAGCCTAAAAAAAAGCGGT